GTTTTTGTGTTTAATCATATCCTATCTTGTAATACATAGTTTCAGTTGGTATGTCAAAGTTGATGTTGCCAAGATTATAACTTTTTATCTTTCTATCATTGTTTGTTGGCCCTGTAGTCTTGGAGAAACATTCAGTTTCAGTATATAAAATACAAATATCTCTTACATTTTTAATATCTTCATCCATCATAGAAATTACAACCAGTAGGTCACTTCCTGGCAAAAAATACTGCAAAACAGTGCTTTAGTGTTCCATGCTTTGGGCATGATTATGATTTATTTTTTTATAATTCTTTAAATTGTATTTTTATTCTGATACCCACTACTATTAAATAAGCCATATAATATTAAGAAAGTTGAAGTGAATTGCTGCTGTTGAAGAAGAAGTAAGTTCTTATTTGTAAATTGTTCACTTGAGAAATATAGATTTGCACATTAAATATTTTTTGCTGGCTGCACTCACCAATTATTCCTACTGCAGATAATTATATAAAGACTTCCTCTGGAAAAAAAGTCTTGATCATGAATAAATGAAGAAACAAGAATATTCATTTCTATATTTAGGTATCATTCCTTTCTGCTGAAACACGAGTTTGATTATTCATATGGATTCTTTAAATACAAAAGCGTTTAATGCTCTTACTAAGTCCATGTGTTTAACCAAGAATTGTTTTATTCTGTTTGCTGCATGGCATTTAATAGGATTTCAGTTGACATGTTGTTAAATGGGTATGTGTCTGAGCAGTCTGGTACTTCTAAAAAAACAGTCTTTCTCCATAGTTCCTTGCTTTTTGGTAAATGTTTGTCTGAATAATGTCTCAAATAGATCTTCCTTAAGTAGCTTGCCATATTCCTCTAGGTTTTAATACTTATTTATTTATTTATTTATCAAATTTATATGGCTGCCTTCTCATAGAAAGTGATTCTGAGTGACAATCCAACAAAACAGTAGAAATATAAAGCAGTCATTGTTTTAAACCATTATGTAATCATTATTAAAAATAATTAAAAATGATAAAAACCAAACTAAGACAGGCAGAAACTAATAGGCAGAGGAATGTTAACAATAAGTTGTTAACTAGTTCACCTCTCTCGGAGTCCTCAGGCCTGTTGGCATTGCCCCCATAATATATTTTTCTTGTTGTTTGTTTATTCTGAAGTTTATGAAAAGACTGGTTGGCATCATGCTGGGCAGCTCAAAAACTATGGCACTCCAGGAATGTCCTTTTGCTGTAATCAAAGAGGTTCTGCAAAGAAGTGACAAGAATTGGTGGACATGCATTCCAATAAAAAACTATTCTGCAGATGAAAAGGAAAATGACCCACTGTGCTGAAGGGGAAATTAAGGGATCATATTTGGACAAAATGTACACTTAACAAATACAGATCTCTATTGATTTGAGAACCAGGGTATTTCATCTGTCTTAAATGATAATGAAACTTTTAGACTCATTTCCTTAGACACACCCAGAAGTAAAATATTTTTTAAGTGGAGTTTGATCTCTGGTGATATCGTGGACACAACCATGCTGTTTTCTTGGCAGTAGCATGCACATACATTGCTGTTTCCTCCCTCTAGTTCAGTGGTTCTCAACCTTTCTAATGCTGTGACCCCATAATACAGTTCCCCATGTTGTGGTGACCCCCAACCACTTATACATCACCGGGTGCCAGGGGCATGCCAAAGAAAAGGGGGAAAAATGGTGGACAGCCTTGTTTGGCGACCCCCGTGAAATGGTCGTTTGACCCCAAATGGGGTCCCGACCCACAGGTTGAGAACCACTGCTCTAGTTCCTAGTTTAGGCTGCACTCTGGTGTTTCTCATTGCTTATATTCAGGTTTTGATCAAGCCCAGTTCCACCTAGTTTTGAACTCAGGCAGGGTTGGCCAAATGTTATCCCTTCTTATGGAGGAGAACACTTACTAGAGGAAAATTCTGTTAAATAACTTGTGACTCATTGGGTCATCGTCACATCTAAACAGAGAAATAAAATGACCATGGATGGGCAAAAAAGCAATGGAAATGGGAACAATTTCCAATTTCCTGCTGGCTTCCCCATTGATGTTGTTTGTGGGAAGCTGGTAGGGAGCACCAGAAATCACTTCTCCTTCTTAGCTGTCCTCCCTATTTTGCAGAGGGGAACGGGAACAAAGGAAATCACGGACCGCAACAAAATTGCACCCCCACTCCCCATCCCAGCATGTCCCTGAGGGTCTCCTCTCTCCAGGAAGTAAAAGGGTTAATCCATCGACTGTTGATAATCTCAGCCAGCCCTACCTCGGAAGCAGGCATTCAAGCCGCTTCGTCACTCTTTCCTCACCATCCATTGCTGTATATAATTTCCTATTTTAGCCGCTATTCCAGAGCAGCCAATCATCCCTCACTGTCGATTGAGTACAGAGACCACAGGTTGTGCCTCATAACCTGTGGGTTTTTGAAAAGTGTACTTGGAAGATGTGCTACTGAAGTGAAGTGGCCACAACTTTCCCAAATTTTGTTTCCATAGGAGTCATGGATCCTGGCATTCTGCAAATTATCCCCTCTGACTTATCTGGGTTCAATAATTGTTGCCCTATATCTTCCATTTTTTCTCAACCGAAGATAACAAGCAAACACAAGAGATTTAATATACAGATCTTATTTGGTCTGTGATTCTTCAGATGATAATGGGAAGGGTAAACATGAATACACAAGTGTTAAATTTGGAAGCATTGTTTTTTATGGCAGACTGCATCAAAAAGTTATTTTTCTTTCAAGCCATAAGCTTTTTTTCGTCACACATGGATACACACATACAGACGCGAACACACACACGTGATATTTGACCAAAAGGTTGAAGACCCCAGATTTATTTAATTCAGTTTAATTTGCAAGTGTAGTTGTTCTGCTAAAGAAATCAATGCCATTTTTACCTGGGCAATATGAATCCCCATGTTAAAAAAAAGATTTTTCTCCAAATAAATTGGGAATAAGCAAGCCTCTGTTACATTCCAAGTTCAAGGCTATATTGTACTTGGTTTAGTTATTTCAAGATAACATTGAATTAATTTTTCTGAAAATATTTCCTTTCAAGTTGGTATGCATAGAAATATGCTTTGATGGCCAAGGGGAAAAAACTACATATAAATCCACCTCTATGTAGACAGAGTGCAAGGATAGATGAGAGAATCTGCTTATTGTGTAAACAATATGATTCTTTGATGAGTATATAAAGACCCTTAAATGATCATCGTATGTAGAATTTATTAAGATCCAACATGGAAAAAAATATTTTATGCTGGGTGCCCATCTATTGCAGTTTAAAAATAAGGCATTTCCTATGTATTAGGAATTTACTAATGCTAATATTTCCTGTCAGGAAATATTCTGTGGAAGAATATAAAGGCAGTATAACATATTAAAAACTGATATTTGGCATTGGGGGGAAAACTTTTTTTTTGCTAACAATTTATTTAGTATCCAACGCAAATGGTTATATAAAAAGAATTTCAAACAATCTTATATAAAGCTTGGTCATAACATACTATTTGCTAGCTTTGCATTTATAAATAGCTTTATTTTCTTGAAGTATAGTTTCAGTAGTTAATTGCTCATTATATATTTCTAATCTATTACAGTGAAAAATAAACAGGATCTTATGGCACTATAAAGACTAACTAGTATATTATAATATATAAAAAATATGGTCTTAATTGGTTAAAGATACCACAAAGTTGTTTGTGGTATTAATTAAATATAAATTATCAGCATTGCATTCTAGGATTACATAAATTAAATGTTACCATAACCAAGAATGTCTAGGTACAAGGTTATATGATTATGTGGGATAACCTTTTAAAATGTCATTATATTTATACGTATATTGAAAAAGGATTTATTTTAAAGCAGCCCTGTAATTAGCATAGTTTTACAAAAGTTGCTTGTCACAAGACTGAGATGCAGTTCTCAGTCATTAGATTTTTTTTATTCTGTTCATCCCCTCCTTTTTGTTGAGGGGTGGGTTTATCCAGAAACTAGAAGCAAGTTTTCACACACACTTTTTTGTAGTTGAAGAGTAGTAAACCTGGCTGCACAAACAGTAGTAAATTGCTTATTTTCCCAGTTATTAGAGAAGTGGATGGAAACTATAGAACCGTTTCCATTGTTTTGCATGCTATTGGAAGCAAAATCTCAGAAGCTTGATAGGTAAACTAAGATTTGAAAACTAATTATGATCCTATCAGTCCTCTTTCAAAACACATGTGGTTTTGCTGTTGTAATAATATTTTGTATGTGGATACAGTGAGCTTTCTATATAAATGAGCTAACTAGCTTCATAGTTCCTTTTCATGTATCTTTCAGGCAGCCTCACAAAGGTCTACTGAAATAAATTCTTCAGTATATTTTAGTAATGGTCTGCAATGTAACGTGCATCTATTGCTTTTCATAAATGTGTAATGGAGTAGTCCTTGAGATATACAACTATAATAGAACCTGCCCATTATGATCGTATGTCGTGATGGTTATAAAACCGGTCGGTCATGCGTGACTTTTTTCACAGGGGTCATTAAACTAATGTGGCAGTCATAAGTGCGAATGCTGTGGTCATTAAGCAAATGCCACAATCATAAATATGACCCTTTGTCGGTTTTCAGCAAAACTCGTAAAAGGCAGTCATGTGCCCACAGGACACTACAAAATGTGACCATGTTGCCAAGTGCCTAAAGCAGGGTCATGTAACCATGGGGGGGGGGGAACTGGCTTTTGGAACTTCAGATAAAAAAGGGGGTGGGTACAGTCTCGTTTTTCAGGTAAGTTGTAAATCGAGCACCCCCTGTAATTAGAATGATCATAAATAATGTATGAATGTAATAACACATAAATGATTGTGTGTGTGTGTGTGTGTGTGTGTGTGTGTGTGTGTGTGTAGGGCCATGCTTTTGTTTATTTGTTATTCTGTATTAAAGTATTTTTTTAAATAACCCTGGTTAATAAAAGTACTTCTTTTTTTTTTTAACAGTGTGTCCTGGAAAAATTGACTGCATCAATGAAAGGGCTGACTCCCTCTCTCAACTGCAGACGGTTTGTAACATAGCTAAGAAAGGTACTTGACGTTCTAATATTATTGATAACAGTATGCTGCTATAAATAGGCCTACAGTAAGAATGGAAAAATATATTTGTGATTACAGGTAGTCTTTGATTAAATATGATAATTAGAACCAGAATTTGTATTGCAACGTAGTGTCCGTGGGGGGATGGGCTACACAAATGTGTGCAGGCCGGGGAGAGGGCCCTGTGGCATCATCTGACTACAACTGGACAGGCACTTGCTTGCCTGGGACCCACACTCATCCTACCACTCGGGCTTTAAAGGAGAAAAAGCAGCAAGAGTGACAAGGGGGGGTGACTTGTGACTTTCCCTGCTGGCTTCCCCATTAACTTTGCTTGTGGGAAGTTGGAAGGGAAGGTCTCAAATGGCAATCGTATGATCATGGGCTGTCCAATTGTTGTAAGTGCAAGCCAATTGCCAAGTGTCCGAATTGTAATCATGACTGTAGAGACACTGCAATGGCCACAACATTAAGGACCTGTCATAGGACTTTGGCATTCAGCTCTATTGTAACTTCGAAGAGTCATTTAAACAAGTGGTTGCTAAGGTGTGCAGAGTCTGGGCAGTTTCTAAATGTTTTATGATCATAGAGTTTAACATAGCTCTTTGAGTGACCAAAAGAGTAGATTAACAACCTAAATAAGAAGGACATGCATTTTGACTAATAACATGTTTAATGTAGGCATCAATCTGTTAACTACCACATTTTAATTTCAAAGAAGGTTTTAGTAAAGGAATATTTATAGCATGAACTATGAACCTCCATCTTCTGAATGTTGCTTTGCAATCAGCCTGTAAAGCCAGATGAGCTATTTAATGATACTTCTTAAATTAAGATGTTATCTATGAGAGGACATTATGCCCCTTATGTAGTAACTATATCAGCTTGCAGGCCCACTCCACCATTTTGGTGAATGCTTTTTTTTTTTTTAAAGAGCTGAACATTTTGAGTCTAGAAAATGCAATCATATTCTCTACCAGTTTATCTGTTCACCAAGATATCCTAGAAGGCTTTTCACTTTGTCTAATGACGATTGAGACATGGCTGGTTGGGACACAGGAGACAGACTTTTCAGAATCCCATACTCACTCATGTCTTTACGACCTCCTGGCTCTTTGCTTGCCACTAAAATTATAAAACTTTCTAATTGGTATTTATCTTGGTGGGTTTATTATTATTTTTATTTGCCTTTGCTCTGTCATCTGTCTCTTTTCACTATTTGTGCATGTTCTATGCATAAAGAAATAAGAATTACATTCAATAATGTTGGTTATATATAATAAAAAATTCTCTGATGTACTCATGAATTTTTTGCCAATGCCCCGAGAGAATCCCTCCACAGGTACAGAACGGGAATGATTCAGAGATATTTTAAAGATCACTGAAAATGTTGCATATAATTTATTTGTAAAAACTCCTCAGATGTCTAGTAGAGGCTAGACACCCATCTTTCTGTGATGTTTTGATTTGGATTCCTGCACAAAGTTGATGGGACTGATTTCCCTAAATAACCTATGATTCTATAGTTGTCCTACATTCAATAGAAACAGATAAATATACAAGGGTATATATACTTGTGTAAATTCTGAAACCAACAGACCTGAACAGGCCTCCAGCTATGCTAGACATATTAGGATAGGATTATAATTCATCCATGCAATCCAGGGGGCCATTAGTTGAATATGGTGATCATAAAAAATGATGGCCATCACTGATTATTAAGTAAGATAGAACTATTAGTGAAAAATCTCTCAGTCCAAATTTTTGCTTTGTCTTGGGTAAGATTCTTATAAACAAATTTTTTCCTGTAAGGAGCTAAAGGTAGCTCTTTATTATATTCCATGTGGCTTTGGTTGCTCAGTTGTTGAACTTCTTTGTTAGAGAGACCTGGTTTGACTGTTATTACTCATGCTTCAGTATTGATCAGATTAGGAATGCATTGCTTTTAGGACTTCCCTAGACAAGTATTGGTTTGATTCACCATAAGAGGAACCACATTATTCTCCAGCAGGATGGCTGTAGAGTCCAAATGGATGAATGGATGGGTTCTATGACGGCCTTCCTGCCTGGCAGACTGGGTAAAAACTTCGGCCACACCCCTTCCTTTGGGCGTGACCCCAGTTTTAACTCAGTCTCGAAGCCTGGTAGACGTGCGAGAAGCAGCTCTCAGAACAATAGGAATTTATCCCAAAAGAAAAGGGAAAGAAGCCTCTTCCTTCCATTTGAATGAAAAGCTCTCTGGCAGCTGATAGAACTTAAAAGGCACAGCCAGGATCGGCGGAGTTGTGAGTGGGGCGTCAGGGCGGCTAGCAGGGGAGGCTTGGAACGGGGCCGGATCGCTCGTCGATATCCGGCCCGCCGAGCAGCTGTTTGGCGCGGGGATCCCACCGGGTTGTTCGTCGCCCTCCGATCCGACAAACAGCTGAGTGGCCGGCTCGGCTCGGCCGACAGAACTGAGGCGCCGCTCAGCGCGAAACAGCTGAGCCGCGCGGGAAGCGGCAAACTGCGGCGCTGCTCGGCATCGATCAGCTGAGCGGCGCGAAAAGCAGCCCTGACTAGGACAGAGCCTTAACGCTATTTTCCTTCCCTCAGAGGAGAGGCGCAGCCCCTTAAAACCAAAGGAGTCTCCCTTACTACTGAATTCAAAGATCCGCCATTGTTTAAACCGCGTGGCTTCCCGGGCTATCTTTGGGAGGCGTGGCTTCCTCCCATTCGCCATTTTGAACAAGCGGATTCCCGCTGCATTTTCCCTTGGGGGTGGGGCTACCACCCGGACTCCTTTTCCCTGCAAGCAAAGAAGGGATCCCTTTAGGTAAGGATCTGAGGTTCCTCAAGAAAATAAGGCAAGAGGAAGGAAGAGGGAAAAGGAAGAGATCCGTTTTGATCGTGGTCTGCTGCTACAGCCACAGACTGGGGGAGAGAGAGATATAAACTGCTCTTGTCTGGACTAGGTGAGGAGGTGAGGAGGAATTTTTTTCCCTGACTGTTCCTATAGTGACCTTTAGTCACTGCCTTGCAGGATCTTCTGTCCAAAGACTCCTGTCTGTCCGGCCATTGTCTGTATAGGCAGAAGAGGGCACAGCCCCAAGCATCTGCATCTGATCTGCGTACCTCATTCCCCCACTCCAGGCATTACCTACTCGGGGTGTCTGGCACAATGGCAGACAATGTCTCGTATTCAGTCACACAGGTCCCTCAATTGTCCCCCCCACAGCAACAACAAAAACGCAGATCTTCTGAGTCAGAGGTGGGGGGGAAGAAGAAAGCTAAAACAAAGCACCTTTCTCAGAAGGGACAGTCTAAAACGGCTGAGCGAGAGGCTTTGAGGAGACATTTGGCTTTAGAAAGACAAATTAGCAGGGCACAGAGAACCAATGCCAATGGGACAGATTTGGTTTCCCCTGTCCCAGCGGTGGCGCCCAGCACAGAGCCTACTGCCGAGGAAGTGCTCAAGACTTGGTCTCCTCCTGGGGAAACTGAGCAGTTAGATTCCTCCAATCCCTCCTCACCAGCTTCTTCACCCGACCACACGCCAGCGACTCACTCCAGTGACAAGGCGCAGGAGAACATATGGTCGGCACAATTTCATGCATTCATGCAGGATGCATTCTCCCAGTTCATGGCTTCTAAGGGGCAAGTGGCCTTTCACACACCCCGTAAGGGTCGGGCTAGGCCACCCCCTACCAGTACCTCTGAAACTTCCTCTCAACTGGGAGAGGGTGACTCAGTGGACCTTGACATGTCAGACATGCCCCTCTCGGAGGACGAGGAGACTGCACCTGAGCAGGCGACGAGCTCTGGCCTCTTTAACCCAGCGCTCCTAAAATCACTCCTGATAAAGGCAGTTTCCACAGTCAACCTAACATCAGTACAGGATGAGAAGCCCTCAACAAGCAAGGAGGCCAATCCTCTGTTTGCCAAAAAGGTTCCACAAGATAAGTACATTCCATGTGCGGAGGTCTTTATGACCACGCTGGAGGAACAATGGTCCTCACTTGCAAGCCCACCGGCACCTAACAGCGCGGAAAGGAAGCTTTTCAACCTATCTCCCTCCTTCTCTAACATGTTAGAGGTTCCTGCTGTAGATAACCCCTTAATCTCATTATTTTCTACCTCCGCGATTCCAGGAGACATGGCGGAGGTCTTGAGACCTGAGGAGAAGAAATTTGAACACTCCCTCCGGCGTTCCCATATGGCTGCAGCCTGGGCGGCCAGAGCAGCCACCTCATCATCATTCTTCGCGAGGGCCAGTATCATGTGGCTGAGGGAACTGCAAGGCACGGTGCCTCCAGACCAGGTCAGAGTACACCAAACATTGGCCAAGCTCCTCGCGGCCTCGCAATTTGTCTCTGACGCTTCACTGTACGCAACAAAGTATGCGGCTAGATCCATTGCGGCCACAGTGGCCTCACGTAGGCTACTATGGCTCAAAAACTGGAAGACAGACCTGAGGTCCAAATGGCGTCTTTCGACGTCCAAATACAGTGGAGTAGCCCTATTTGGCTCCATTTTGGACCCACATGTCAGCGAAGGCAGAGACAAGAAAAAAATCCTGGTACATCCATCAAAGAAGTTAGACAGGAGAGGCAGTCAGGACTTCCGGAGACAGGGCTCCCGCCCAGGAAGCTCCTGGGAATGGAGACAGCCCTTTCGATCAGGGCAATCCTGGGACTGGCCCAGAGGCTCACGATCCTTCTACCCCAGACAGGATCGAACCCAGGATCGCCAAAGCCCGGGAGCCAGGGGCCAGTTCCAGTCCAGACGCCCATACAGGGGAGCGGGAGGCAGATCCTTTAAGCGTACCAAGTGACGCCAAACAGGATACTCCCATTGGGGGTCGGTTAGGAAATTTCATCGAGGTCTGGGAGCAGACCACGACCGACGCCTGGGTCCTGGAAACGATCAGGCATGGCCTGACCTTAGACTTCTGTTCTCCCCCACCAAACCGGTTCATCAGATGTCCCATCTCCAGAAGAGCACACAAGACGAGGCTGATAACTTCGGCCATAGCCCACCTCCTGTCAATCCAGGCCATAGAGAGGGTACCAAAGGAGGAGGAGGGAAGAGGATTTTATTCTATCCTCTTCGTCATCCCAAAGACATCAGGAGGGTGGAGAGCAATCTGGGACCTGAAGGGCCTGAACTATTTCATAAAGTACAGGAGGTTCAAGATGCACTCCTTGAAATCCATCCTAGCCAGCGTCAGGGAAGACGATCTATTATCCTCAATAGATCTCACAGAGGCGTACCTACACATCCCCATTCATCCCAGTTACCGGAAATTCCTCAGATTTACCTACGCGGGTCGACATTACCAATACAGGGCATTACCCTTCGGACTATCATCAGCACCAAGGGTATTCACCAAGATCCTAGCTGTAATAGCGGCCCATCTCAGGTTGATTCCGGTTCGCGTTCAGTTTTATCTGGACGACATCTTGATTCAATCCAGATCTCGGGAGCAAGCAAGGGCAGATCTCGAGACCACGATCCGAACCCTACAGGGGCACGGATTCTCGGTCAATCTAAACAAGAGCCACCTCACTCCCTCAAGGAGACTGCAACACCTGGGCGCGGTGATAGACACGTCACAGTGCAGGGTATACCTTTCCCAGGAGCGACTGATCAGCATATCCAAGCTAATTCACCAAATTCAAAAGATCAGGAGAGTGCCCTTGCTACAACTCTCGAAGCTCCTGGGGAAGATGATATCTTGCATGGGCATCATCCCATGGGCAAGGCTCCACTCGAGGGAGTTGCAGTGGTTCCTCCTACCCTACCAGAGGGGGAACCTCAGCACCTCCAGCAAGAGGGTGCTGGTACCAGCACAGGTGATGAAATCACTAAAATGGTGGCTATCCCCCACGACACTCAAGGGGAGCATATTCAGGGAACCAAACAGGGTCACACTCACGACAGATGCGAGCCTGTTCGAATGGGGGGCCCACCTGGGAACCCAGATAGCACAGGGCCAGTGGGGACAGAAGGACCTGTCACACAGCATCAACTGGCTAGAGCTCCGGGCCATACACCTGGCCCTCCGTCATTTCTCTCACCTAGTAACGAGGAGGCACGTCCTCGTGCTTACAGACAATGTAGCAGCCAAGGCACATGTAAACAAGGAGGGAGGAACGAGATCAGTGGAACTAATGAAGGAAGCATTGGCGCTGGCCCGATGGGCAGAAACCAATGTGAGTTCCATCAGAGCGGAACACATCTCAGGGGAGACAAACACCCAGGCAGACTCCCTGAGCAGAGCCAAGGTGGACCAGTCGGAATGGCGTCTGGACCCGGTTCTCTTCGAGGAGATCTCCTGGAGGTTCGGACAACCGCACCTAGATCTATTTGCCAACCACAAGAACACACAACTCCCCAGGTTCTTCTCCAGATTCCCGTCCCCGGGATCGGAGGGAACGGATGCTCTCAGGTGCCGGTGGCCGGCGCAACTCCTGTACGCCTTCCCACCGCTGCCATTAATACCGGCGACCATACGCAAGATGATCCTGGAGGGCGCAGAGATGGTCTGCATTGCCCCTCACTGGCCACGGCGCCCGTGGTTTGCCGACCTCGTGGACCTTTCGATATCACCTCCGTGGAGGATTCCCCCGGACAGGGTAAAGCTCAGGCAGGGCAAGCTTGTACACCCAGATCCCCAGTGGCTACATCTAGCCGCTTGGCATTTGAGCGGCAAAGCTTAACTAAACAATCTTATTCGGCAGGGGTGATATCGATCATACAGGCATCACGAAGAGCGTCCACTAATAGGATTTACGACGCTACATGGAAGGGATTTTGTAGGTGGTGCGCTTCGCTTCACCTAGACCCGACCACAGTATCTATCCCTAATATCCTAGATTACCTATTGGAGGGTCTTAATAAGGGCCTGTCAGTCAATACCATCCGCAGACAGATATCGGCCCTCTCAACTGTACTCTCCTGCGACAACTTAACTTCTCTAGCACAACATCCAGCGATTAGTGCTTTCTTAAAAGGGGCATCTAACACAAAGCCCCCAGTCATACACAGGTACCCGTCCTGGAACCTGCCTAAGGTCCTTCTAGCCTTGACATCAGCACCCTTCGAGCCTCTTGAAACATGCTCACTCCATCACCTATCACTGAAGGTATCTTTCCTTGTGGCAATCACTTCAGCAAGGAGAATCTCAGAACTTGCAGCACTGTCAGTAAGGAAGGATCTATGTACCTTCTTCAAAGACAGGGTTGTTCTTAGACCAGACCCGACCTTCATTCCGAAGGTAAATAGCATCTTTCACAGATCTCAGGAACTTACGCTTCCTGATTTCTGTCCAAGACCCAAACATAGGCTAGAACACAGATGGCACAAGCTAGACGTGCGGAGAGCGCTGTGTTTCTACGTGAAACGCACCTCGGCTTTCCGAAAGACTGAAGCATTATTTGTGTCCTTTCAACCAGCAACTATGGGAAAGAAGGTATCTCCTTCCACCATAGGCAGGTGGATCAGAGCCTGCATAGCACAGGCATACGTCTCACAGGATTTGCCAGCACCCACTCAGGTGACTGCCCACTCAACTCGGAGCGCAGCCACATCTGCGGCGTGGCTAACACAAGCTCCGGTGGAAGAGATTTGCAGGGCCGCAACCTGGTCCTCACCTTCGGTTTTCATTCGACATTACCGTTTAGATTCCCTAGCAGCAGCAGACGCGGCTTTTGGCAGAAGAGTTCTTCAACAAGTCGTATCTGCTCAGAGTTCGGTAGCCTAGACATTCCCTCCCAGGGGGACATGAGGGCTTTGGTATGTCCCATCCATTTGGACTCTACAGCCATCCTGCTGGAGAAGGGGCGTTGTCTTACCTGAACGCCTTTTCTCAGCAGGATGATGTAGAGTCCAAGCCCACCCAGAGGATAGGTCTAGGCAGGGAGAGAATAACGATATAATAAAGAGCTGCAATGTTAATTCCAACAAAGTTTCTCGCCTAAGTTAAAACTGGGGTCACGCCCAAAGGAAGGGGTGTGGCCGAAGTTTTTACCCAGTCTGCCAGGCAGGAAGGCCGTCATAGAACCCATCCATTCATCCATTTGGACTCTACATCATCCTGCTGAGAAAAGGCGTTCAGGTAAGACAACGCCCCTTTACTAGCACCGGCTATCCTGAGCATGTTATCAACCTGGTATTTAGAGAAGTACATTGTTATTGATTTGTTTCCAGTCTGATTGAGGATTGATTTTAGTGTTTAAAACCTTAAAAAGACCGGGGCTAATAACGTTTGAAGGATTACCTTTTACAACCGTGAATCTGCCAGCAATTAAAGTCTTTATTACAGGCGTCTTTCTTGTTCTCTTAGTTACTATCTTTCAGGCACCAGAATAAGTCTTTCCAGAGTTGTTGTTATTGCTGTGCCTTAATAGCATTTAGATTTTAGAATATTCTGTGATTATCCAGAGATAAATTTGGTTTAGAAATTAAGGGCTCCACAAATTATCCAGAGAATGGGGAAATAATAACAAAGTCCATAAGTGTCAATCTATAAAGCCCACTGTCTGGCATACTTAGCTGCACTACCACCAGATTATTGATTTTAAAGTAGTTGTTGTTTGTACATTGATGTCTTATATTTTATGTTTTATTTAATTTGATTGTTGTCTTTCTGGAAAACACTAGAAATAAAATGCTTTTGTGTTTTTAAATCTTTTCAGATGCAAACTATAGCTGAAAATGGAGATCCCCCTTCTGAAAAACAAAATGAGGAGAAAACATATAAAAAGGTTTGTAAAATTTCATATCGTTTTGAATGATTCAAAATAATTTCATTGTTTTACAGCTTATATAGGGTGCTAGAATGGACTCTCTTCTCGGTTGTGCTTTATGATTCTTTGAACACAACAAAATAGGTTTGGATACATAGAAAATTGCTACTATCCAGTTATAGGCAGCAGTTTGCTAGCCACTACAGGCAGAACCTTCTGGGGCACAAGCCTCAAATCAGTGCCTTTCCCCTTGCTTTCTGAAATAGAAAATTAATCACTACAAACTCACTTCTGAAGCTATGCCTCTTTCCTATTGGAAAACATTAAAGGTACTGCCAACCTTACTGATAGTAGCTGTTGGGGGTGGCTTTTTCTGATCCTGAATGCAATAAAAAAAAAAAATAGTGCCAGACCTGTGAGAAAGGACAAGGGGAAAAAAAAAATCACCAAGGCAGAATTGTATTTATGTGTATCTGTATAAATTGTATTTAGTGAAAATATTTATATTTTACCTTTATTATTTTTATCAACAACTCAAGGCATAAACATATCTAACACGCCTCCTTCCTCCTATTTCTTCTGGCTTTCATGCCTAAGGCAGGACTAGAACTCATGGTCTCATGGTTTCTAGCCTGGTGCTTTAACTACTAAACCAAACTGTAAAAGGTTTTGCTTAGAATGTCAGTGCTATTTATTTGAAGTATTTCAGCCACTTTCTACAACTGTACTCTCACAAAGCAATACGTAACCAAGAGCCAAAGTATTCTACATCATAACATAATAATTAAAGTTTTAGTTTAGAGCAGTGCTGAAGAAATACAGTACAAAACACTAGACCAGTGGTTCTCAACCTGTGGGTCGGGACCCCATTTGGGGTCGAACGACCATTTCACGGGGGTCGCCAAACAACGCAATCCGCCATTTTTCCCCCTTTTCCTTAGCTGTGCTACTCCCTTTTATTCTATTGGCTTTTGAAAGCCAATAGAATAGACTCTCTTGAATAGAGTCTAATTCTATTGGCTTTCAAAAGCCAATAAGAATTGTCCAGGCTGTCTCTGCCCTGCTGAGCCCACCAAAAGTCCCATTCTGCAAACAGTCTGCAAGTTGTCTGCAGCGAAGGCGAGCTGTCTGGAAGCTTCCACCCCTTCCTGCTGAGCAACTACTAAAAATGTAAGTAAAAGAGGGCCAGGGGTGGGAGATGGGAGGCTGGCGGGCGCAGGGAAGGTTGCTGGCATGCGTGGGCCCAGCGGGTGCCTTACCTTCCTTGGGCTGGGCCAGCTGGTAGCCCAGCTGGTGGTTGGCCTGCACCGTCTCTGCCGCTTGCCAGCTACGCCTCGGCCGGCACAGGGGGCGGCATCACGCATGTGCGGCGCTCCTGGGCAGGGAAAGTCCTTGACTTACGACTGGTTGGGTAGTCCTCGACTTACGACTGGTTGAGTAGTCCTCGACTTATGACCGGTTGGGGGTCACGGCATTAAAAAAGTTGAGAACCACTGCACTAGACTATGGCTCTATTAAATTGATGACTACATTAAATCTAAATAACAATAACAACACAATGTTAATTAGAAAGAGAATTCCGTAGTTGCCATATATTACAAATATAAAGAGATGAATTAAAAACATTAGAAAAACATATGGTTCTTAGGAACCAAACAAAAAAAATAGCCTTAAATGGTATAGTCATATCATGTGATATAATTACAATTGTAAAATACATTTTATTATAAGAACAAAAAAGGGAAATTAACCATATAAATCATGTAATTTAAATCTCAAAATAGGGGTTCACAAGTCTCCCAGTGTTGAAGTACTTGTTCAAATATAGAGAGATTAACTTTCTATAACATGATATAATTGATGAAGAATTCTACTCTTGTTATTGATTGATTAATCAAGTTTATATAGCTGCCCATCTTACCAAAGCAGCTGTGGGCAGTGCATGATAATAAATTAAAAATATAAAAACAGTGTATACAAATTTTAAATACTGGTAATAAATATACTAAAAAAACTCAAAATACAATCAGAGTGGAGGGAGAATAAGAAATGACCCCTTAACAATCTTGCCAAGTGTTTAGTTCCATGGGAGCCTCACTTCTCCAGCAGGATGACTGTAGAGTCCAATGGTTAGGGTTCTATGACAGCCTTCCTGCCCGGCAGACTGGGTAAAAACTTTGGCCACACCCTTCCCTTGGGCGTGACCCCAGTTTTGACTCAGTCTCGAAGCCCGTTAGCAGCTAGCAAATTAGCTCCTGACAAAGATTGACAATTAGACTAAAACCCTCTGCAAAATTTACAATTCAATTGGAAAACTCACAGGGAGGCCTTTTTTTCCTTGCAGCCTTGGCTCGAGGCTCCGAGCAGCCGACAGATCGCTGTTCCCACAGGCGTCGCGTGAGGAGGTGGTGAGAGTATCGTTTAAAAAAAAAAAAATTAGCCGAGAGAGCCTGCGAGAGGCAGCGGAGATACAGGGAGCGTCGGCTGCCCTTATCTCCCAGACCAGCTGAGGCGCGCGAAATCGGAACCAGGGCCAGTCAGAACAGCGGCGTTCAAGGTTTTTGGAGGTTTGCCAGCAGGCAACTCGCCCAGTCTTTAACGGCCGGCTTTAATTTAACCCTTGTTTCACCGGATTACCTGGGAAAGCGCAGCCCGTTTCGGGGGGATCGTTAAGGCATCAGTAACCCCCCCCCCCGCCTAAAAGAAGCCTCCTCAGCCAACGGAGTGAACGTTGGAGACAAATCCGCCATTTTGAGACTCGTGGTTCTCTTTGGCAGTTAATAGGAGGGCGTGGCCTTCACCCAGACGCCATTTTGAGTGCACCTCCTTTAGCCTCCATTTTGGGTGTATTCTTATAGCCTCCATTAAGGGCTCATATACTTGAAGGTTTCCACAGGAGTGTGGGATAGAGAGGCAGAGGGAAAGGTAGAAGGACATTTATAAGCACACCCGGTGGACTGTCTTTACAGCCACAGATTGGGGAATTCATACTCACAGCACTAGCAAATCTTTGGCCTTATATCAGTGCCATTGCAATCAACCCTGGTGAAGGAAGGGGAGAAAAGTTTGAACTGTTCCACTGTTCTTCAAGGTGACCTTTAGTCACCGGTCCACAGGATCCTTCCTTGCAAAAGGACCTGTCTGTCCGGCCATTGTTTCTTCTGGGCAGAATAGGCCTTCTAGGTCTTAATTATCTGCAACCGATCTGCGTACTATTCATTCCCCACCCCAGGTATTGCCTACTCGGGATACCTGGCCACAATGGCAGACAATGTCTCGTATTCAGCTACGCAGGGCCCCCAATTGCCCCCCCCACAACAACAACAAAAACGCAGATCCTCAGAATCTGAGGTGGGGGGGAAGAAGAAGGCTAAAACAAAGCACCTGACTCAAAGGGGCCCATCCAAAACAGCTGAGCGAGAGGCCTCAAGGAGACATTTAGCTTTAGAAAAACAATTTGCCAGGGCCCAGAAAACCAGTTCCAATGGGGCAAGCATGGTTTCCCCTGCCCCATTGGTGGCCCCTATTACAGAACCTACCCCCCAGGAGGTTCTCAGAACTTGGTCTCCTCTGGGGGAAACTGAACAGTTGGACTCCTCCCACTCCTCTTCACCTGACTCGTCACCAGACCATATTCCCACTGTGGCTGCGTCCACGGACGGAGCTCAGGAGGACATATGGTCTGCACAATTTCAGGCATTCATGCAGGATGCCTTTTCCCAGTTCATGGCTTCTAAGGGCCAAGTAGCCTTTCAGCCATCCCTTAAGGGACGAAGCAAGGCTCCGGCTACAAACATTTCTGAGACTTCCTCTCAAATCGGAGAGGGAGATTTACTAGACCTAGACATGTCTGATATGCCCCTCTCGGAGGATGAGGGCACCGCTCCTGAGCGGGCAACGAGCTCTGGCCTCTTTGATCCAGCTCTTCTAAAATCACTTCTGATAAAGGCAGTCTCTACGGTCAATTTGACCTCAGTTCAGGAGGAAAATCCTTCTACTAGCAAAGAGGCAAACCCTCTCTTTGCCAAGAAAGTTCCACAGGACAAGTACATTCCTTGTCCTGAGGTTTTCCGCACCACGGTAGAGGAGCAATGGGGTTCCCTAGCAACACCACCAGCACCTAACAGCATGGAGAGGAAACTATTCAATGTTTCTCCTTCCTTTTTGGGCATGTTAGATGTCCCTGCAATAGACAGTCCCTTGATCTCATTATTCTCTACTTCTGCGATTCCAGGGGACATGGCGGAGGCCTTGAAACCAGAGGAAAAGAAATTTGAGCACTCCCTCCGTCGTTCCCACATGGCCGCAGCCTGGGCGGCCAAGGTGGCAACATCATCATCATTCTTCGCCAGGGCGGGTATAATGTGGCTGCGCGAGCTACAAACCACTGTACCTCCAGATCAGGTCAGAGCTCACCAAACTTTGGCCAAGATACTGGTGGCATCACAATTTATGGCTGACGCCTCACTTCATGCAACCAAGTATGCGGCAAGATCCATTGCGGCCACAGTGGCCTCTCGCAGACTACTGTGGCTTAAAAATTGGAAGACAGATCTGAAGACCAAGTGGCGTCTTTCGACGTCCAAGTACAGTGGGTCATTTTTGTTTGGATCCATTCTGGATCCACATGTAAGCGAGAGTAGGGACAAAAGGAAAATTCTAGTCCATCCATCAAAGAAATTAGACAGGAGAGGCAGTCAGGAATTCCGGAGGCAAAGTTTCCGCCCAGGCAACTCCTGGGACTGGGCACAGCCCTTTCGACCAGGGCAATCCTGGGATTGGTCTAGAGGCTCACGATCCTTCTATTCAAGACAGGATCTTTCCCAGGATCGCCCAAACAGGGGAGCCAGAGGCCAGTTTCAATCCAGGCGTCCCTTTAGAGGATCGGGAGGCTGACCCTTTAAAACGCGCCAAGTGATGCCAGACAGGACACTCCCATAGGAGGTCAGTTAAGGAATTTCATCGAGGTCTGGGAGCAGACCACTACCGACGCCTGGGTCTTGGAGACAATCAGGCAT